GGCCAGAGGGGTCGGGGTGTGACCGGGATGTGTCCGCGATGTGACCGGAATGTCTCGTCCGCAGGCCGAGGCGGCGGATCCCGCTGGTGCCGGAGAACTTGCTCAAGAAGAGGAAGGCGTATCTGGCCATCAAGGCCACCCAGGCCAAGGCGGCGCTGCTCAACAAGCGCAAGGTACGGCGGGTTCCGGCACAGCCTGGGCCTGCAGCCCCAGCTCGTTTTCCGGAGGAGGGAATCGCAATTCCTTGAAATCGTACGGCAGTGATCCGAGTGATCGCTCCCTTTAGCGAGGGGGGATTGCCCGAGCACCGCGGGTGGGCAGGGATCATCTTAGGGGTTTCTCCGAGAGGAGCTTGAGGCCCTAAACACCTTCTCCATGTGTCTCTGAGCCTTGTAAAGAGGACAGAACTTTCCAGGTTATTTCACTGAAACAGGAGTATATGGAAGACTGAGAGTTGTTCCGTTGGATCTGTGATGATCAGCTGTTTGCAGCCTCATATGGAAAACAGCAGCGCTGCTGAGATGTCTGTGCTGCCCTGGGATTTCACTGTCTGAAACCACCTTTGCGTTGTAACCCTGCATGGAAACTGTGCTTTTTTGAGGGTGAATTTAGAGTTATTTATCTGTTCCAGCAGACACGGGTCATCGTGAGGCCTTTTTCTGCATGTAGGATGGCGCATGTTCTAGTGCAGACACTCCTTGTGCACTATTTCGAGACTGGCAGAGCACAGCAAACCTTTCTAACTCGATTTTGAGAACTGTTCTGTAATCCTAACACAGGAGGTGTCTGTCTAAAAGTTTTCCCAGTCAGTCTTGGGGAATTAWGTGCAAAACGCCTGCCATTTTGGTTTGATACTGTGGTTATGTTTTTAAAAGTATCAGTGGCTTCCTGCATTTCCAAGGTGGAAGTGGAAGCATAAGCACTAAAGTTAAATAGCCACTTCTTAAGATTCTCATTAGAAAAATTACTTTAGTGATGGGACTTTGATTAGGTCTACCTGCTTTGAAAATTCAGACTAATTTCATGGATTATTTACAAGGTGAAATAGAACAGAAGATACATAACTTTAGGTTCTTCAATTTAAAAATGGCCTGCTAAATTAACCAGTAGTGTGTCTTAAATATAATCGTGTAATGCTGTGCATATTCAAGTCCTGTTCATATGAGAAACCACTGTGACTTAGGGGGATGTACTCATTCCTGAGCTAAGGAGAGGCATTTAAATACCTTTTTAATTAAAAAAAAGCTTTACATTTTACAGTAGTTCTGAAAATGCTTTTACATGAGCCAGATGTGCTGTATTTATATTATCAATGCATACTAGCTACTTGAATGTTGGAAAATTCTGGGGTTTTTTGCATGTGTGCCTCTGTAGAAAATGACTTTAAGTGGAGTTAATTTCTGTTGGGAGGGTAATTTTGAGTCATACTAGGATATTGCTGTAGCATCTGTTTTGCCCAGATGTTTCTGGCTTTCCCAGACATTGCTGAGCTGTGTGTGTAGCTATTCCTAGAAGTATTCTGGGTCTTACTCTGTTTTTCCTAATTTATATTTTTCCTGGGAAGCAACTYTTTGTTCACTGCTCATAAGTAATAGCTGCATGTAAATTCATGTCCTGTTCCTGAGTTCTGTCTCCCTTGGGCTTAGATAATCAAATTTATTTTCTTCTTACTKCTTCCAAAGCTGAAAGAACATTTTGTTCATTGACCTCTGCATTTCATTTGGCCTTTCAGATGCAAACCTCTGAGACTGCTGGGATGGGTGATACCTTTTTTTCCTTTTGTCTGTAGCAGCAGAAGGGGAAACAGATCCAGTTCCGACGCCTGGAGACCTTTGTTCGGGATTCGTGGCGCAAACGCCGGGATGACACCAGGCTGAGGCGCATGGAGCAGAGGCCTGGGCAGGCAGCAGCACCTCAGGAGAGCAAACTGGCCTTTGTTGTGAGGATTGTGGAGTAAGAAACTTCCCCTACTCCTTCCTTTATTGTTGCTCCCCTTTGTGTCATTTCTACACCAAGGAAATGTGATCAACACATATATCTCCGTGCAGGCGATCTGGGGCCTTTTGTTTCTGTATTGCAGAATTTTGGTTGCTAATAAAAGTTGTTTTTTATTCTTACTCAGTATTAAGGGAGTGACTAAGAGGGTGAARAAAGTGATGGAGTTGCTGCGGCTGAAGAAGAATTTCACAGGGATGTTTGTTAAGCTGACCCCGCTGTCGCTGAAGATGCTGCGGATCGTGGAGCCTTACGTGGCGTGGGGGTACGTACCCCTCCTGGGGCTTGGGGGTCATTGGATGCTCCAGCTGGTGTCACAGATCCATTTCTGTTCCAGTAAAGGTCAAAACTTCATCAATTTTATGTCTAAACCTTGGTTTTGTCCTTTTTCTCATTTTTCTCAACATAACTTTTCCCACCTCTGCACAAGGAAGTGGGATGGGGCTTCCCTCTGCATTGTGTATCTCTTACAGAACCTGATTTTTGTTTCTGCACAGACAGCCTAACCTGAAATCTGTACGTGAACTCATCCTGAAACGAGGCCAAGCCAAGATCAAGAAGAAGAGGGTGCCACTGACAGACAACATGCTGATAGAGCARCATTTAGGTGAGGAAGAGGGTGAGGAAATTGAGGAAAAGGTTAGGTGTTGAGAGTTTACAATCTGACCTGAGAGGGTGTGGAGAGACAAAAATCTTGACAAACTGAAGGACTGGCAAACGGTGARGGAACTGTGAAGATGATGCAGAGGGGCATCTATTTTCTTTTTTTTTTTCTTTCTCCTGCAGGGGGCTGTGGTATTATTTGCCTGGAAGACCTTATTCATGAAATCTACTCAACTGGGAAGTATTTCAAAAAAGTCACCAGCTTTCTGTGGCCATTCCATCTGTCGGTGGCTCGCCACGCGTCACGGAACAGAGTGGGTTTCCTCAAGGAGATGGGCAAACCTGGCTACAGAGGTGATACCATCAACCAGCTCATCCGACAGCTCAACTAGTCAGGTGAGCAGTGCCTGCTGGGGTAACTCTGAGTCTTACCCTTCGTTCCCTTTCTAAGGATAACCATGCTGCCATGGGAGATAMAGGAGGGGCTCCCTTGGTTTTTATTGTCACTCTGCAAAAGTGACCCTCAGAGTGTGGGTCCTGTTAGGAATCAGCACATTCTGTTGGACACCTCCGTGAATACTTGGTTCTTGTTTGATTAGTATGACTTATTTATTTTCTTTCCTGTTCTGCAGGGTCTTTGTAAGAACTTCAGGATCTATGACCCGTTCCTTTTCACATGTACTTTTCATGGACATTATCTACCTGCCATGATCTACTTCTCTTGACTGCTGGTGCCTCTAAAAAAGAAATACAGAGATGTCGATGGAGATGGACTTCAGCCTGGTCCTTCTTAAAGGAGATAAATCCTGTGTGGTACAAGAATTAACTTSCTGGAGCAATTTGACTTTTGAATCTCTGTAAAATAAGTTTTTWTATGCTCATTACTGCAGACTTCACTCTTTGAAGTGCACCTGCTTCCTGGGCGTGAAGGGATAGTGCAGTCACCACAATAGTGCTGAGAGGCAAATGAAAATACCAGGTGTTCTATTACTGGAGCACATGTCCTAACAGTGAATAATGCMACTTTTTAAGTACCTAGATGGTATTTATTTAAAAAAAAAAAAAAAATTATTGTTGTCCTCCTGATTTACAGAGGACTGCCTTTTTTTTTCTTGCCTGTATTGGGACAGCTGGAGAGAATTATTTCCTGAAAATAGGAAAGCCCAAAAAGGTTGTAATAGTTGTGGGGTGGGATACCTGTAATTGATGTTTTTAAAATAAACTGCTCAAATTAAATTATTGCAACAGAAAGTCCTGTATCACTGTAAAGGTGGAAAAACAGAGTTAAACACTCTGGCTGAAACGAATTCAGTGAAGGAAGTGAGCAAGACCATGGAAGAGTCTGAATGTTCCAGAGTGCCAAATCCCAGATTACTTCCACTACACAAATGGATAAGAACACATGAAGAGTCCTGTGCTGTGTAATAAATATGGACGGCACTGCACTTAATGATTGGGTCACTGTGACTGTATTGTTACTTGAAGACCTAAGTGGAGGCAACCTCTTAATCCATAAATGGATTTCATATGGACTTGATGCCTTGTCTGGCTTACCTAAAACAGAAYGCAGACAAAATTCAGAGAATAAAAATAAAAGTTCTGTGTATTGGAGGGCCTTCAGGTAAATTTAGGGCAGTYCCAGCCCACCCAGGCCTACACCCAAAATGGACAACAGGTCACAGGTTTTTCATACTTTGTAAGTTTTGTGTGCACACAGGGTTAATCCTCAAATTTCAGCTCCAGATAATGARCTCCTTTACTCCCAAGTTTGCTCCCCACAGTTCACTGTTGTTTCCTTATCTGCTGGTGGCAGTGAGGTGTCCTTGAGTTTTGGGCCTGCAGAGGAATTGTTTTGTCTAAAACAGGAGAGCGGTAGCTCAGCACTGTCTGTGGCATCTGGAGGTCTGGAGTTACCACTGAAGAATCACAGAATTACAGATACATGAAAAATACAGAAGCTACAATCCTAAGGCATCAGACTCCTCACCATTTGTTTGGAGACTTGGAGAAAACAGTTAGGTAGCAAAAGAAGGAGAATGCCTTTTGGGTGTTATTTGTGTGACAATTATAAAATTAGGATGTAGCATTCATAAAACCATCTGAAATACGAAGTACCGCAGACTCTGAAATAGAGAACTCTATAAAACTTGAGGCTTTATTCTGTAAAAGAAGAATACATAGAAAATGGTGGACAGACGCTACAGACATACACAGAAAACCTCTGTCCCCAGAACTAGAGCCCAGTGGTCAGGGAAATAAAAGGCTTCATGTATTTGAAGTTTTCCTGATACAAAGCTGCTTCCATTCTAGAGAGGTACAAGAATTGTTTGGTTGATTAATTTTAGGATTATATCTGGTAATAAAAGAGCCGAGGCTTTTAACATGAAAGCTGGAACACCAGGAATGAGATGTTGCTACAGAGAACTTAAGTCTGCTAACAGAATGCAGTTTAAAATAATTTTAAAATATAARATTACAGGATCTGAACACAATTCTGGCAGCTAATCCTAGGTTTAGGCAGTTWTTCTAGCACAGGCAGTGGTTTAACACATCATTAATTTAGCTCATACAAGAAAGAATTGAGCTATCACCATGAATACTTATTTTAAACCTTTAAAAATGATGCCAGCTCAGTCTAGTGTTACTTCACATTATCACAGRCAAGGATGTTGTCTTTCAAGAGGACAGTAATGATGTGTTCATGGCTTAGCTGCATGATAAACAGAAACTATACAAAGTGACAGGATATATACACAGGCAAAACTCCCCCCTGCATTTTAGGGAACAGAATCCTTCTTGTAAGCCACCATGGTGTTTACTTTGTGGATTGTGGTGGTGAAGGAACGCAGCCGAACCTCTTCTGAGTTGGCTATGAACTGTGGTCCTGACTCTTCCCACTTTTCTGGCACTGCCAGATCTTTGTCTGTGTATATCAGCAAGTCAAAGGCACCTGGGAGCAAGGGAGAACAAATTCACCATAAGGAGATGGCAGGTTTGAAGTGCATCTTCTAGAACTTGAGTCAAGGACCAAGGTTTACACAAGGTTACACTTACACTAGTTATGTGAAAAGAAAATCGTTAAAACAAGTTACATTCATGTGAGGCCATTTTAGTTTTCTCGAGTGATGTAAATTTTTTTTAAAGCTGTTAAAATGCTGTGGAGCTGAGCTCTATAACACTTGATATGAACAAATTATTCATGAAAGCTTTTCATTCCTTAGAGCATACATACTAATTTCCTTAAGTTATCTAAGCCACTCCGACTTCYATCCTGATCTCAGTGTAACAAAGTGCTGTCTCACGCATGTGATGRTACCTGATGTGTAATTATTAAAAAGTTTCAGAAAATATTTTCTRAAGTTGGAAAGGTTACTGAGGTTTTTCAAAGGTGTTTGATTTCTTTAGTGCAGTTTGGAATACTCACAGGCAGATTCCAGCAGTGGCAGGAAGGTTACTGTGGCAGTTATTTGCCTGATGACCGAGCGAATTTCATCCTGAATTGCCTTCTGAGATTTTTCTCGTGGTCCGCTGAAAAATAAGAATGCTCTGGTAAGAAAACTAATACTGTGATGATAGTTTTGTTTAAAAAATACAGTTTTCTTTGTTAAGCTCTCTTACTCTGTTTGCTACAGTGTTTTTAGAGTAGTGACACTAGTAAATCTTTAGAAAAGTGATAGCTTCATTGTTGGTTGAATCACGTAATGACTGGTTTGCAGACAAACAGAGCGCAGGGCACTATGAAAGGTTTGAAGGAAYACGGCTTTGATCCTGTCCCTGCACCGGTACTCGGGATAGGGAAGAGCAGGAGTAGAGGGACCGTGTTACTCACTTGTCATCCTTTGCAGTTTTGTCACACTCGATGTCAAACTGCCACCGCTCCAGGACCTCGCTGCTCTCGATGCTGGTGATGACCACCACCAGGCGCTGCACGATGCACTTGTACAGCCACTCTGCAAGAAGCCAGGCAGTCACTTAGAGGGGGAGAAGCAGCGGCCGGGACACGGCAGGGACACGGCAGGGAGGGTCCCGCCGCCACCGCGCACCTTTCATCTGCTCCGTCACGTTGTTGAGGTAGTTGGTCAGCTCGGGGTCCGTGGTGACGAGCAGCGTGAGCCCGTATTTCTGCACGCGGGTGAAGGTCTCGGGGGGATAGATGCCCCGCTGGTACAGGATGCTGTTGATTCCATACGCTGCACGACGGAGAGGGAGAGGAAAAGGGAGAGGGAAAGGGAGAGAGAAAAGAAGACGATGCGTACCACCGCCTCCGCCCCCCCCAGCCGGCGGCCATGTCGCCCCACAAGACGCGGCCTCCCGCTCCTTCATCCACCACCCTCCGTCGCTCGTTCCCTCCCAGCGCGGTTCCCGGGTCCCCCTGCAGCCCTCTCACAGAAGAACTCGGCGACGAGCTCTGCGCTGCCGCGGAGGGTGATGCCCTGGTGCTCGCGGCTGAGCTCCTGATGAAACGCCATGGCCGCCGCTTCCCCGCCGCCCGGTTCGAATCCGGCCCCGCCCCCGCCCGGCCCCGCCCCTTCCCGCGCGCCGGCCCGTGCCCAGCGGGGCGCGCGCCGCCTCAGGCACCCTCAGCGGCTCCGCTCGCCATTCCCTGTGGCCTTTAGCCATGGGAACTGCGAGCCCGCGGCTATCTGGGGCAAAGGGAAGGCTTTTTCCCTCATGTTAAACTTCCCGCCGGCTCCTCGTGCCCGTCTGTGGGCGGGGCTGAGGGAGCGGGGGCGGRGCGAGTGAGGAGCTGCGCCGTGGGRTTGCYGTGCGAAGGGCGSTGTCGGAGTTGGCCTCGATGCGTTCGACTTTATGAGCTTATAAATGTTATTTTCCAGGTACGAATTTAACAAATACTTAATTTATGATTTATTGATGGCTTCTACGTGTAAATCATGCATTGACTGTTTCAAATAAAAATATTTTGCAAGCACTTTGAACGGGCAGTGGGGAGGACCTGGGAAAGCGGGATGAAACACAATTTTTCCTTCAATCCATTTTCAAAAATCAGTTTCGTATTGAAAATAACTTTTTCCTTCCTCCAATTTTTGGAGTTCCCTTAGCTAAAAAAGGGGTTAAGAGGTATTTGGGATGCCTTAGTGATGGGAATTTGCTACTTGGTCAAACAACTTCAGTCCTGTTACTACAGGGAGACCAAGGAAGATGTTGGAACCAGCAGTGACTGTCACCTGGAGGAGACTCTGGCAAAAGTTAACAGGTAAGAGAGACTGAGCAAAACAATGAAATGTTGAAATAAGTCAATATTATGAAGAGGAGAAGTTACTGTCTACTGGGGTAGTAACAAGGTGGCCAGCTAATTAGCTGATAAAATAATTTAGTAGGCAAGAAAATGGAAATTAATGGATTTGCTCGCCATGGAAGAGCTACAAATTAAATAATTCCCTGAATGTGTTTTTTCTGAAGCATTATCTGATGTTATCATCTAAGGTATATCTGTGTTGGAGACCTGTATTGCCCTTTGTGAGAAATTAATTGAGCAGYTTTAAAATGAAGTTATGTTCAAAACAGAAATATTTATACTGAAGATAAAACCATGTGGTCATTACACAGTGCAGTGAGCCAGCTGCTAAGAGAGTGAATTGATGGTGTGATTGCTTATTTTGTTACAACAAAGCACTTTTTCTTAAAAGTGAGGGCTTTGTCTTGGTTCCAGTTTTTTATCCAAGGGGAAGTATGGTTTGCCTCAGGGTTCAGTCTTCTGTGGTTAAAACAAGTGGTGTAGTCCTGAAGTTATGTGCTGAAGTTCTGAAAGGATCTGAATAATTTAATTTAACCAAGGAAAATTTATTCTGGGTCTTGATCACTGGTGATTGTGTTATGCGTCAGTCTTCTGAATAAAATATTTTCTGACTAAGAGTGGGATATTTCCAAGGCTGTGATAATGGAAGCAATTTTCATTCAAAGCCCAGCTTTTAGACGTTAGATTGCTGTGAATATCAGCTGTTTTGCTTAAAACCTTATTTACTATGGTGCTCTTATTTATCTGTCCTAAAACGGTCTCAACCCTCTGGCATTTTTCTGCATTTGGCTTCTTGTCCATTTTGCWTTTTGAGAGCTGATAATTTTTGTGMTAAGTGAAAGGTCCTGAAAACATGAGACCCGGCAAGAACAGTGGAGTTTTAAATTAATATTTGACGTATTTCTCCTCTAGCTGTCTCACTGTTAAAACCAGAGAGAAGAAAAGGATCCAGGTGTTTCTTGGTTCACCAAGTTAATGTCTCATGTGTTTCAGTTAGGTTGGTTTGTTCACACACTTGTTGGTATGACCAGGTGCATGTGTTTAGCAATTACAGACTCAATTGCTTCTTCATCACTTCTCACAAGATTCACCTGCGGGCACTCAGATGTGCTGCTGGCTCTAAATCTTCCTGCGTATTCCTGAGTTTTGGGTCATTTCTCCATCCATCCCCAGTTCTGTACTGTGGTTGGTGCTGCCCTCTGCCCCACAAAAACCCCAAGACTTTTGGGTTTAGTCTGTGCTGTAACTGAGCTGCAGTTGCCACCTGACCACAGCCTGGCCAAGGGTGATGGGGACACTCATACAAATCCTTCATGTTCCTGACCACTCCTGCCTGGAGTTTGTTAGGGAATGTCCAGCAGGAAGAAGGCTCTGGGGCTTCTGCCAGGGACGCTGCTGCGGGTTGGTGGCTGATTTGGGACTGGCTGCTCCCTGACCAGCTCCGAGGGACTCTGGTGAACCAAGATGACAGGCTAAGTTATATGCTCTGCCACACCGGRGTTTGCTATCCTTGCTTTAATTACCTCATGATAAAACCTTCATTTTCRTRAGGAATGTGAAATCCYAGTTGGATTTAATTTAGGTMTCTTACAACTTTTCAGTCATTGTTCTGTTTCTCAATTACAGCTTGATGTTACGACACAATTTTATTGATTCTTGTTCTGTGAAAGGAAATGTTCCCTATTTAGCTTGGCTTTTCTGCAACATTTAATGGTTGTTTCCCCATGGCAATTGTCAGTGAACCATGGGCAATCCAAATCTCTGGTATGCTTTTTTTTTTTTTTTTTTTTTTTAAGGCAAGCCAGATCACATTCCCATAGTCATTCAGCAAACTAAAAGACATGATCCACTTGTAGAGTTCACCCCAATTTCATTATTTTTTTAACCTTCAGGAGGATGTAGACAGGTCTCTTCTCTCCAGCATAATAAAATTAAAGTTCCCACAGTCTTTATAGCATTGAAGTTTGCAGTATGTACAGGTACCTCCTGTTAGCTGTCAAAATAATCCTAAAATTTATTTTCAAGTTGGCTAATCTTATTTTTTAAAACATAAAATGTGGGCTATTATTACAAGTAGCAATGTTGTGTCCTGCACCAAATAAAATGATGGTGGTGCAACTGGGAAAGATTGTCTTGATCTTTAAGTATTCATGGAAAGAAATGGATATTGAAATGAGTCAGTATGGGCCAATAATCTGCACTRTAACATCTAATATGATAAGTAGGCTTTCCAAAGGGACTTCCTTAATTTGGTTTTGAACACCATGTAGAAAGTTTTACAGTTAATTTTCTGAATGTATTTTGAAACTAGAATAACTCGAGTGAGTACTTATTTTTTTAATTAAGTTAAAGAGATTTGATATTTCTTTACTTAAGCTGATGAAATAAACTATTTAGCTTCAAAGTAGMTATGTCCAGATAGTGGCTGCCTTSTACAATGAAATAACTTCTTGTAGATTTTGAGTTTTGAAAGCTCCTTCTGTAGAACATGAAATAGGATCCTTTTCTTGTTTGTTTTTTCTCTTCCTCCGAGGACCTGACATTTTTTCCAAAGGATACCTCGGAGAAAGTTAGTATTTGGGTTGGTTTCACCTCTAAACTACCAGGAGATGGCAGCAGGCACACGCGTTATCTGCACTCTTTCAGTTTTGGCTGGAAGTGCAGCGAGTTGGTTTTACTGTTATGTGCTTCGGGGTCTTTTGCTAGTTTTAAAATCATTGTTCCAGAATGAAGGGTTACTTAATGCCCTGTTTTCATGTTTACCTTTTGGTTGTACTAAAGACAGTCTAACAGAAGAATGATTATTTTTAAGCCTTTCAAGTGAAGATAGGAATCCTGTGTCAGAATTGGGAAGAACAGGACTTAAATGAGCTATTTATGCCTTGAGAACTCCTTAGTGCTGGATGATGTCATGTTACACTGGTTACATGTGAAATCCCCTGAATCCAGCTCTTTACAACTTAATCCCCTTCACTACTTAATCCCCAACCTGAAGATTGATAGTGTGAAAGATTAATGTTAATCCAGTGAATTTTAGCTCCTGTCACATCTGAAGTTTTTGTGTTAATAGATCAGTGGAAAACTAGGGAGTTCTCAGGTAGCTTAGATTTACTCAGCCAGTATACTGCAGTTTAGGTTTGAATTCAGAATGGGCCGTCTAAAGTACCCTGGAACATTGATTTATCATTTATAGGTTATCAGCAGAGRCTTAGTGGGTCATCAGAAACTGAGGGCAAAAGGGTCCTGAAGATTGGTAGCAGAGTAAATATGCCTTGGTGGTAGGATAAGAATTTTGATAGGGTTCTGTTGTGTGATTGCAACATGTTATATGGGAATTGTTCCTTTGTGATGCTTTCTAATGGTGTCACTTCTGATGAGTAACCATGATGGGCTTGTGCAATTGATTGTGTGGCAAAGAATACAGTGCAGCTTACGTAATGCCTGAGAATTGTGATGGCTTAAGAGAGAAATGTATTTTGAAAAGCATGTTACTAGTATTAGAAATAGTTGAAGCAAAAGTATGAATAATTTCTTTGTTGCCACTTGAAAATTAGAGTCTTTATGCATTTTTTTCTATGGTTAGGTCTCCAGGCAAGTTAGGTATCCTGTTGGCAGAATGATAATCCTTACTGAGAACAGGCATGCAAAATATCCAAATTCTTTCTCCAAAGTATTGGACAGTTTAAGAGAATATCAAAGGATGACTTTCTAAAGATATTTATTCCTGTGTGGAAGTAGGAATTCTTCAAAGAGAGTAATTTATTTCAAGAAAAACATACCTTTTCATATGTTTTGAGAAATTTGTGCATAACTTTCTTTAAAAAAGAACAAATTGTCACCAGTGAGTGGTAACAGTGAGATGAGCTAAAATATTTTATGAGGCTCCCAGGCTGCATGGGCTGGAATTGCTCCCTGAGCTGTTCCTCTCCACTTCACACCTGCATCTCTCAGTGCATGCTGCTTCCCTGGGAAGTCTCATCCCATRGCATGGAGACAAATGCCTGACTCCTAAACTTTCTGTAGTGCCTTAATCAGAACTTGTGTGCTCTGCTGCTTCACAGCAGAAGAAACATGAGCAGCCTAGGAGTAATGTGAACTGTTAAAAATGCCTTTATCTGAAAATCACAGCAGTATCTGCTTATTAGCATTGATAACTTAACACTCTTTAGAGAGGCTGTCTTTGCACAAGAACATTGAGCTATGTGTGGAAGTATCAGGTGCAAACTGAAGCTTATACAATTCTGCT